GGGGGGGACTTTTATCGAGTATCTCAGTCTTTGGACTGGGATGTTCCATCCCTTTCGGCCTGGGTTGGTCCTGACAGACAGGGTCGAACCCCCGCATCGTAAATGATCTACATTGTTGTCGAAAGAGGTGTAGTACACTTACATCATTAAAAGAGCTGAAGCCTGCCTCCTAAATTATCTAAATTGTGTCAGTGGGGGTGTAAAAACAACTAAGCCTACATTAACATATGTGAGGCAGCGTGGTGGAATCAGGCTCTCGTCAATTTTTGGGCATGTCGTGTTATTGGTATTTTCTTAAAGCTTGTTCACTTGTTTTTATTTGGTTGAAAAAAAATTCCATTTTTCTTTAAAACAAATCGAGGTAATTGGGAATGAAGAAGGTGGGGGTCACCTGTTTTCAGAAGTGAAATTACTGAGAAAATGGTCACCAAAGGTGAGTTATTTCCTTAAGTTAAGGGTCCGTGATAACGGAAAATTTACATTTTGTGTGCCTTTAATCAACGTTTTAAATAAAAATCCACACAGAAATGAGTTCTTTAATAGGCATGAAAGGTGTTGAGCCAAAAAAAAAATTTGAAAAAAATTCACAAATCTGCAGAAAAATACAAGTTTCTTCACTTTGATTATTTTGACGAGAGCCTGATTCCACCACGCTGCCTCACATTTTTTCTTTGATGTTTCAGCCTGGAGGGTGACGAGACAGACCAAGTGTTGCCCAGCGCCATGCCAGTCCCGCCCTCACAGAGCCTTATAGACACAGCCAGCCTCAAACCAGGTAACTGCCGACAACTTTACGTTATCCTTCGTGGAGAGGTGAAATTTTCTGTCAAAGTCTATTTTGATGGCAGCTGTCGTAGACATATTACTGTTTTGGAGGACCTCTTTGACGTTAACCAGCCGAGTTTTTGGTCTGCCCACACCGTTGTAACACGATTTTCTTGAGTTGTATGCTCGTGCAGCAGGTTGATTGGGAGCCATTCACATCAGATGACCGAACCACTTGATTCTTTGATTTTCGATAGGTTTGATGATTGGTCTCATCTCTGTAAAATTTGGGACGGTTTCGTTTGTTTTGTAGTCTTTTTTTTTCTTGCCAACAAATTTTAACAGCAACGAAAATAATACTACTGTATCAGACAAGGGCGTTGCCCACCCTGTATTCTTATCACCCCC